AAAAAAAAATGGAAAAAAGTGATAAAGTACAGGTAGTCCTCAACTTACAACAGTTTGCTTGGTGACTGTTCAAAGTTACAACGGCACTGGAAAAAGTGACTTATGACCATTTTTCACACTTATGACCACTGCAGCATCCCCAGGGTCATGTAATTTACATTTGGATGCTTGGCAACCGATTCTTATTTATGATGGTCACGTTGTTCCAGGGTCATGTGATCACCTTTTGCAACCTTGTGACAAGCAAAGTTAGTGGGGAAACCAGATTCACTGAACAGCCATGTTACTAATTTAATCTCTCTCCTTTCTTTCTCTCTCTCCCTCTCTTTCTTTCTCTCTCTCTCTTTCTTTCTCCCTCACTCTCTCTTTCTCTCTCCCTTTCTCTCCCTGTCTCCCTTTCTTTTTCTCTCTCCCTGTCTCCCTTTCTCTCACCCTCTCCCTGTCTCCCTTTCTCTCACCCTCTCCCTCCTTATTTCTCTCTCTCTCTCTCCGTCTCCCTCTTTCTCTCTCCCTTTCTCCCTCTCCTCTTTCTCTCTCTCTCTCCCTCTTTCTATTTCTCTTTCCCTCTTTCTCTCCCTCTATTTCTCTCTCCCTCTCAAAGATCCTTAAAATCCTTAAAGGTTATGCTTGGGCGGAAGACCTTTTCTTTTACAGATGGGCGGGTGGGCCTGACATTCGCGCGCAGGCAGGACCCCGCCCGCCGAGCCACCGCTTCCCCATCGCCCTCCATGCCAGCCGTCTCCGTCTCCAGACCTCCCAGCTGACGGGCGCAGGTCCAGGGGTCACCAGCTGACGGGTGCAGGAGTTCGGCGCTGCAGCAGCCTCCCCTTCGCCCTCTGCACCGGCCAAAGCGTTGCCTGACGTTCCAGCTGACGGGTGCAGGATTGCTCCAGCCGAAGAAGCAAGCGGCTGGGAGGCCGCGGCGGCGCCTACCTCCTGTGCCCGTCAGCTGGCGACCCCCGGACCTGCGCCCATCAGCTGGAACGTCAGGCAATGCTTTGGCCGGTGCGGAGGGCGAAGGGGAGGCCGCTGCAGTGCCGAACTCCTGCGCCTGTCAGCTGGCGACCCCTGGACCTGCGTCCGTCAGCTGGGAGGTCTGGAGACGGAGCCGGCTAGCGTGGAGGGTGATGGGGAAGCGGTGGCTCGGCGGGCGGGGTCCTGCCTGGGCGCGAATGTCAGGCCCACCTGCCCCATCTGTAAAAGAAAAAGTCTTCCGCCCAAGCATAACGCCAGCATTTCTGTGCCACAGAGGCTTGAGACACGGAGGCGCGGGACGCGGAGCAGCGTGGTGCGGTGGGAGGCGGCAGGACGGGGGGAGGGGTTACCTGCATCCTGCCAGCCGAACTCTGGAAGCCTGCCTGAATACCCGTATTTTCCGGCATATAAGACGACTGGGCGTATAAGACGACCCCCGACTTTTGAGAAGATTTTCAGGGTTTAGAAAGTCGTCTTATACGCCGGAAAATACGGTATCTTAATTCAACTATAAAATACACAAGTTTATTTGTTGTGATTTTATTGGCTATTATAGCTCTTGTGAAAATTCTGGATTGATTTTTTTTGTTAGCCTTTTGTTTGTTTTCTTGGCTATTAGTATTATTCTCAACTCCAAGTTGAGAACCATCAATACTCTTTCTGTCCTACTTCTTCAAAATCCAATTATCTCACCAGTAGTGTTATAGGGAAAATCATTTTTGGCATGAATCTGATGTTTCTAACTACAGCATTTGAATATCATTTCCAAAGCCTTCATTGCTACAAGGATATATTGTGAACTTCATTAAGTACATTAAATATATAATGCAATAAGAAAGTATTAAAATGTAATCTAATGTGGAATTATACATATTACTTATTGTTTTCAGTTAGACTTTTTGTGATAAATGAGTATAGAATTCAACAGAGCTACCTTGAGGTAAGATGGCTAAAATAAATGAATGAATGAATGAATAAATAAATAAATAAATGAATTAATGAATTAATAAATAAATAGCTTTGGTTCCTTTTGGGGTTTTACAAGACTCCTGTCTTTAGGAAAAGCAATTAAAATTAATTAATAAAATAATTTTATAATTTATATAAATATCTTTAACAATCCTTATGAAAAAGATGGCCAGCCCAAACATAGTACTTTGCCACCTGTAATGTAAATAAATAATTTTGATTCATTTTATTATGATAATGCTCTTCCATCATCAAATAATACCAGCTGAACTTTTGTAGCAACTAAGAGTTTTTTGAATTTTTTACTTATAAAGCCATGTATAGGAGTATTAATGTGAAATAAACCTACTTTTCCATATAGCTGAAAATTTTCCAGGGTGTAGAATATAACCAAATCTGATTGGTTATAGGTTATAAGCCTTTTTCTTAAGCAACCTCTGATTAGTTTGCTCTGTTTAATAGAGATGATGACATAATGATCACTATATCTACTGTTTGCTAGAGGGTTTCTGAAATTACCTAGTGTTTAACTAATAGGCTCTGTCTGCCTCCATGAACATTAGGTATGTCTATTGTTACTGATAATATTGGTATCGTTTAAAAATAAAATCAGTGCTAAATTAGCTTTTGTAATATCAAAAAGGAAAGTGTCAGGCCTGAAATAATTGACATTGTCAAGACATGTTTATGGTTATTCAACTGACATTGATAAACACTGTTCTTTTTCTTGTAAGTACTACCTGTGTTTCCCCAAAAATAAGACCGGGACTTTTTTTTTTTTTGCCTCTAAAAGAGGCACCAAGTCTTATTTTGGGGGGATGTCTTTTATGCTCACCTCTGGCACCGACAGCCCCGCCCAGCAGGTCCACTTCTTCTGGGGCCAAAGGAGCAGCTTCATTCTACAGCTGCATTCCGACCTGCATTTTGCAGTCAGGTCTTGCCGGAAGACCTATGCAGCTGAGTACCGATCTATGGATTGAATCCATAGCTCAGTCCTCGGCTGCACAGGCCTTCTGGAAAGACCCGTGACTGAGAAATCCAAGCCTGGCTGCAGAAGACGTCACAGAAGAAGTGGGCCAGCGAGGAGAGGCCTGGTTGCAAGGTAAATGGGTGCAGGGCACGTGGGGAAGATCCACACCCCTACCCCCACCCTAGCTTGATTTTTAGGTGTGTGTCTCACCCCAAACCTAGGGCTTATTTTTGGGGTAGGGCTTATATTAGGCCCACCCCCAAAAATCAACTAGGGCTTATTTTCGGGTAGGCCTTACTTTCAGGGAAACACGGTATATAACCATGTAAAAACAGGCCCTTATTCTTTTAAGTATGAAAAGGATTAGTTTTATTGGAATGACATAATACTTGTTGGAAGGTACAGTTACCTAGTGGTACAAAAAGAGTAGCCGAAGAAGTTTGGAATCAAAAGTGAAGTCACTGTTCTGTCATGCTTCCATTGGAGCCTGAATCTACTGAGGAAAATGAGCTGGAACTGGAGCCGATGGAGGTCGAGGGAAGGGTGTCTGTGGCTTCAGAGGAATGTAGGGAAGATCAGGCTGAGGCAGGCCAGAGCCTTTCAGGATTGGGACAGGATGAACATGAGAGACAGAGCTCAGGCGATGAGCATGGGCCACCTGCTCCTGATCCTAGAGCACGGAGAGTGGAGAGAAGGAGGGAACAACGCAGGCAGGCTCAACTACTCGGGAGGAGAGTGCCCCACCCCTCTCCACAAGGCACACCTGAAGACTGAGACTTAAGGAGACGCTGTGGGGAGGGGCATTTGTCGGGAACAAATGCTGAATGCTAGGAAACAACTCTCTGATCTCTTGTTCTGTGTTGTGATTTCTGCTTGGAAACCCTGAAACTCTGACCATTGGACTGGCTGACAAACTTGATTTGGTGTTCAAAGACCTCGGATTGAATTTTAGCTTCTCTTCTGAAACTGCTCAGAAAAGCTGGTATTTCCATAGACTCGTTAGATTTTAGATGTATGTTTCTTTCCTTGTTATCTACATGGCCTTGAGTAAATTACTCTTCTAATCTAACTGCATGTGAGTCGAAACCTGAAGGAGGACAGCTTGTTCCATTCACACACTTTCCCTGCCTGAAGAGTTAAAAACCTGTGAAACTACTTGCAGCCAGAGGCTGCTGAAGGTGTGTGTGTCTTAATTTGTTCTGCGGCTTGCCAGAAATGTGGGAGCATTTGGGGAAAATTGTAGCAAATAAAGGGTGGTTTGAAATGCCAGTTGACTGTTTTGCCTCTGTGCTGTGCCCTGGGTCATCACAGTTCTTTATTTTATATTGGTCAGACCAAATCTAGACTATTGAGTCCAATTCCAATCACCACATTTTAGGAATGAAACTGACAAACTGGACAATGTCCGGAGAATAGCAGTCAAGGAGATAAGGGTCCTGCAAGGAAAAATTTACAAAGAAGTGGGTATGTTTACCTTAGAAAGCTAAGACCATAGGGAGAAATGACAAATGTCTTCTATTATCTGAAGGGATATCATGTGGAAGACAGGTCAGAATTGTTCAGAGTTATTCCAGACAAGGTGAAATGGGATTAAATAATTTAATTTGAAATCATGGGGGAGAAGTCCAACAATAAGAGCTGTTCAGCAATGGAACAATCTGCATTACAAGGGTGTGTGGGACTGTGCTAGAGGAGTTTAAACAGAAGCCAGATGGTCATTAAATCCCTGATAACAATAGCACTTATATACTGCTCAATAGTGCTTTACAGCACTTTCTGTATGGTTTACAAATGTCAGCAGGTTATCCCCAACAATCTGGGTCCTCATTTTACCAACCTTGGAAGGATAGAAGGCCAGTCACGATCGAACTCCTGGCTGTGGGTAGAGTTAGTCTACAATACTGCATTCTAATTACTGTGCCACTAATGGGACTTGGATTACATGACCTCCAACATCCCTTTCAAATAAGATAAGATAAGATAAGATAAGATAAGATAAGATAAGATAAGATAAGATAAGATAAGATAAGATGATAAGATAACTTTTATTGTTATTTTTTTACTGTGGGCACAACGGCACACATCAAAAATGAAATTTAGTTGCCCGCTCTCAAAGTGAAAGACATACATGACACACACCTAAACACACTATGTACAACATATGTATAGACCCACACCCCTACATATACATAACAAATAAATAAAAAATAATGTCCATCTTGAATATATAACGGAAGGAGGAAGCTTGAGAGTTCACAAAGTTAATGCTGTATGGAATGAAACTATGGCCGAATCTGGATGTTCTGCTACGGATACCGCGAAGCCTCCTCCCAGAAGGTAACAAGGAAAACAGGTCGTGAAGAGGATGTGTAGTGTCCCAGATAATGTTATGAACCCTGCTCAAGCAATGCTTCTGTGCTATGTCCTGGATAGGAGGGAGGGAGCTGCCAATGATCTTTTCGGCCGTCATCACTACTCTCTGCACCACCTTCCTGTCTGAAGCAGTGATGCTTCCAAACCAGACTGTGATGCTGTATGACAGGATGCTCTCGATCATCCCCCTATAGAAAGTGGTCAGGACTGGGGAAGGAAGATGTGCTTTTCTCATGCAACACAGAAAATGCAGGCGCTGCTGAGCCCGCTTCACCAGTTTCTCACTGTTGAGCGACCAAGCCAGCCTACTCGTTAGCTGCACACCGAGGAATTTGATGCTGGTAACCATCTCCACAGGTGAATCATTGATGCACAGAGAAGTGTGGCTGTGCTTTCCTTGTCTGAAATTGACAATGATCTCTTTGGTTTTTCCGGTATTTAAAACTAGACTGTTTTCCTTACACCAGTTCACCAACCCCTCAACCTTGTGGTAAGCTTCCACCTTATCATCCTGAATAAGGCCCACTACCGTTGTATCATCTGCGAACTTCATAATATGGTTGGTGGCAAACCTAGCACAACAGTGATGGGTCATCAGGGTGAACAGCAGCGGACTTAAGACGCAGCCCTGAGGAGAACCTGTCTCAAGAAAATGGTATTAGAGGTATTTGTTCCAACTCGCACATATTGGGGCCTGTTGGTAAGAAAATCAAGAATCCAGTTGTACAAAGGAATGGTTAAACCTAAAAGGTCCAGTTTCTCTACTAGATGCTGGGGAATGATTGTGCCGAACTGAAGTTGACAAACAACAAAGGCACGTGAGTATTTCTTTCCTCTAAGTGCTTCAAGCTCAGATGGAGAACAGAAGAAATAGCATCCTCCGTAGAGCAATTTGGTCGGTAGGCAAACTGAAGCGGGTCAAATGCTGGTGGGAGGCTAGATACAACAATGTCCTTTATCAGCTTCTCAAAGCATTTCATAATGGTGGATGTCAGTGCAACTGGACGGTAATTATTGAGGCCTGTAATTGTGGACTTTTTTGGCACTGGCAAGATGATGGCCGTCTTAAAACACGATGGGACCACTGCCTGCTGCAATGAGAGGTTGAAAATATCTGTGAGAACACAAGCCAGCTCCTCTGCGCATTCCCTGAGGACACATCCAGAGATGTTATCTGGGCCTGCTGCTTTCCGAATGTTAACCGTCTGCAGTGTTTTCCGGACAGAGGTGACATCAAGGCTTAGCACTTGCTCATCAGGATGGGGCACAGTTTTCCTAGCAGGAGTGCTATTTGATGCCTCAAATCTACCAAAAAATGCATTCAGTTTGTTTAGGAAGTCTGTGTTGGATTTCAAAGAAGACATGTTTTGAAAATAAATATTATATTTACCAGTGAAAAAGATGCACTGGACTATTTTGCATCTTTAACTAGAAGGAAAAAATAAAAATTCCATACCATACGATCTAGAATGAGTCTATTTTTAAAAAAGAATGACACTAATAATAAAGTATTCACATACTGTAGATAAATATGAATGTACAGTACAACAAATGGAATGTTTTGTTAAAGAGCTTGTGGTTTTAAGAAGTAAAGAGCCATCAGTTCTGTCTGGTCTGGGAATAAATGGCACAATTTATAACATATGGACGATCCTTTTCCTTTTCAAAAATATAGTTGCCTGTTTCTGAGTCGAAATCCCCAGATACTAGGGTCTAAAGGAAAGCTTACCCTTTTAATTCCACCCATTTATGCAAAAAACTCCCATTTCATATGGTCAGTTGAAGCGTATTAGTAATTCAAACCCTTAATGCCAATACAGATCATACTAAAGGTTCTAGCAACAGACCTAGGGAGTGCTTACTATTTTGTTGCAGCTGGGCACCTCATATATTTTACAGTTGAATTTGCAGTATAAATTTTCTTTTGTGTAATATGATTGAGAGAGGCTGAAATTATTTTTCGGATTACTGAAAAATTATCTTTAGTATTAAGGCACAGCTAGTATTTAAGGCATAATTTAGGATATTATTGTGTCTAAAATAAGTTCTTTTGACAGGTGTTAAGGAGAAACAAGATAAGGTTAATCCAAGCAGGGTACTGCTTTATGAGAGATGGGTATCTCTGACAGCTTGCGGTGACACTGGAGTGGCATAGAAGAAGGCTTCTTTTTCCCCAATGCTAAAAAGTGGGAATGAAGCAATTTAAATGAACATCTCTCTTGTTTCTAACTGCAGGAATGAAATTCCAAAAGTCGATTTGGTGAGCTGTTCTTTGTCTAGCACCTTAGAAAAGGGATTCACTGAAAAAAGCAATGACATTGGTAAGTTGAAGTACATTTTACATATATATATATGACCAGATCACTATATAAAAAGAGTATTTCTGAATTGTAATCAGTTGACATATTTATTATAAAATCATTGTATACTTTTATATCTCTATGAAACACAAATAATATGGTACATAATATTCTAAATGTTTGCTATTTTTGCTTAATTGAATGCTATTTTATTATTTAAGTTATTTTAAAAAAAACTAGAGTTTTTAAAATTTACCTTTAATGGTTGTTAGTTCAAAAGAACTAGTAGAGTTCTGTAACAACTTCAGAATTAAGGTGACTTTGTGGAGCATTTTAACCATGTTTTCTACAGAAAATTAAGAAAATTGTTACTTTTTTATAAATTTGCTGTCCTTAAGAAGCGTTCTAGGTTGTAAAGATAGTACACTTAGGCTGGAAAGTGAGGTGTTCTGCTGTGATCACATATCTGTTAGCAAACCAAGTGTCATTTTCATATGGAAATATTCTAGTATCATCTGCTTCAATCACTCAGTTCTGTAACAACTGGGCTCCAGAAGACATGGTTTTGTAAGAGGAGAATCTTTGTATTCTAAATTGTAAGCATTACTACATAACATTGGTAGCATACTCTGTTACTTTTATGATGTGATTTCTTCAGGAAGCTCATATTATTAAAATTAAAATAAGCCAGAAATGTTTCTTATTTTGGAATAATATTTTAATATGTTCTTAATAGGCAGTTGTTCAAATAATAAGCTAAGTTTTTTTTAACAAAAAGAATGATTTCAGAAAATGAAATTATAAAAGAAATGTATTTTAATATGTATGTAATATTTTGCTTTTTGCTTACCAAAGTACATACCGAAGTATAGCAGTTTTAGCTTCATTTATTCATTAGCCATAAACCAGCGTTGAACTGATATTCTCCAATTACTTGCTTCTTATAAATATTAGCTGTTGATGAAGTCCAATAGATTTGTGAACATTAGCTTAGACTGAGAAGAACATAGAATACTAACATATGACATTGTGATTTTCTCGTCTTTGAATCAGAATTACAATTGCAATATTTAGTTAACATACATGAAGATCAGAGCACTAAATGGGAATAATGATAGAAAATTAAAACATTAACATTGCTTTTTATATGTAAAGTTGCTCAAAGACTTTTTGTATTTTGGTAAGATTTAGAAATAATAAAAGAAAATAAAAGCCTTTTTTGAGATACAGAATTATATGCACATTAACAAAAATGAAAGCCTTATGTATACCGTATGTTGTGATGCTGGAAGAAATGTTTAAAATTGTTAATCACTTGAAAATAGTGGAAAGAAACATAAAAATAGATTAAATTATTTGTGAGTAATGTTAGAGTAGATTTGAATATGGATGGAGGGCAAAGGAGATGAATATGAAATATACGAGAGGTGAGAAATGTTCTCACCACCATCTTGGTAAGTTACTTGGCAGATGATACCATGAACCACTGCAGCCTGAACTTCAACTTTATGCAAGAATTCAGCAATGGTGAAACAACAAAATGTTCATTATACCAGCTCATTTCTTAGAGAGGGAAATGAAGCATAGTATTGCACTGTATATAGTACTGCAATATTATTTTACTGTGGTATGCAAACTAGAAATGTGAGATTAATTTGTTTATGAAAATGTTTTATTTAACATGTCAAATGAATATAGATATTGTCATGTGCACACGAATGTAGCTCCCCAAAGGATGCATTTATTTAATATATTTTTCTTGGTGTGAAGACTTTCAGGTATTTATATTAGATCAGAATTAGCTAAAGATGTCTTGGTTGGATTGTAAGCATTGTTTTTAATGTGAGTATTGTATCAAAGGGACTTTTTTCTTTGTTTTATCTATGATTCACACAGGCAAAGCTTTTGGAGGAAAAAACACTATTAGTCCTGTTGTTAAGTATGTGTATGGATCTGTTCCTTTTCTCCTCACACTTTTTTTCTTTTCTTTTTCTCTACATTTCCAGTGGTGCCTTTCTTTTTCTTTCCATTCATATTTCTTCAAGCTTTCCCTATTTACTCCTTTTATCATGGGTAATTCTTCTTCACTTGATGATGGTAAGGCTGTTTTGCACCTTCTGTCTGTCCTGTCTTTTTTCAAGAGAGAGAATGAATGGCATCTACTGCTCCATTCTCTTGGCATCCTCTTGTTTGCTTTGTTGTAGTTGTAATTCTTTAGTAACTGAGCCATTTCATACTGGCCAATGGAATGCTTCTGAAATATTGCACTTCTTTATTATAATATTGTTTCTTAGCAACAGTAAAAACCAATTTTTATGCTAATAAAAATGTGTGTCCATCTTCTAATATAAACTAAAATATTTGCATGTTAGTCAAATGCAGTAGGTAACAGACATGCATGGGCAATATTTTGAGAACTAACAAAATGATCTTACAAGGATTCTGTGCTTTTGCAGGAGTCTCTTAAATAAGAACCCATCTGTCTGTTAGTGGATTATTTCCAGGAAACATGATTTTAAAACTTCCATAATCAGAAGAATAACATCAACTTTCTTACTACCAATTAGTTTTATTGTAGGCGTCCTTGCAGATTGAGCCAATTTTAAAGGTCATTCATTCATTAAAGATATGACCTAATCTCTAAAGAAGGAGCATGAATTTTACATGGCTGAAACAAATGCCAACCAGGATATTAAGAATGGATTTATTTTATAAAATATAAAATTGTGTATCGCACAAGGGCACTGAATGAATGATATGCCATTGCAAGGTTTAAAAAAAGACTAATGGTAGGTGAGTGTATGCGTTAGGAAGAATTCTGAACCAGGGTACCTTGTATACCAGCAGTGCCCCTGCTCAGAATTGTGCTAGTTTGGTGGTCGGATTTTTCAACTTTTTCAACTTTTCAACTTTTTCAACAACTGTGTGCCGTTATGCCCACAGTAAAAAAAAAATGACAATAAAGGTTATCTTATCTTATCTTACATATTAACTTTTGTGGAAATGATTAGACTATGTTTTGTACCATTGCAAATAGGCCTTTGTTTCTGTAATTGGTTTTTATATCCTTTAATTCCTATTATTTTCTGAATTTTAAGTCAGAGAACAGTGTAGTTGTTTTTAATTTAAAAAAGAAAATTGTAATAGAAAATGACATCTCAAAAAGTAAGATTTTATACTTTTTTAAAAAATATCTTTTTTTTCACTGCTGTATTTACAAGGGACAGGGGAGATACTCCTTTGGATTTAATGTGGTATTAAGCCTGCCATGGCAAAGATAGCTTTTGAAGTCAATACTAATAAAGGAGAACATTTGTAGCTCGGGGTTGACATGAGGGGTCCTTGATGCTCTCTAAGCTTGCTTGTTTTCTTGCAGGTGGTTCATTACCCAAACTAGGTAACATTATTGTTGTGTCCTGAGCCTGCAAGAGGCAGGCTCGGGACATTGCAAGAGTCCCAGGCATTTGCAGAAGCTGCCCGGGACCAGACTGAGCGGCGCCAGCCTTGTGCGCATGCGCAAGGCGGGAAAAGCCCGCCTCATGATTGGTTGAACTTGCCAGGGGATCAGAGGGTATAAATAGAGGTCTGCGTGCCTCTGCTCGGGTTGTTCGTAGAGTGGAGCAAACAATAAAGACTTGTTGGAGATGATTCGTCTTAAGCGCCATTATTCTCCGGACTTAACACTGGCGACGAAGGTGGGATACAGTCTCTACAGCTAAGAAAAGCTAGAAGACTCACCCAAAGAAGTCCGGGAGAGAAACGGCGTGGAAGTCAGCGTTATCCTGCCAGTACGAAATCGCTGGAGGGTGCATGCGGCTGAAGAAGAAGAAAACTTGATCATCGATCATGGCTAAAGTTGGGCGTTTAGCGGAATTCGACGTCTCTCACCCCGAGAGGTGGGAATCTTATGTGGCAAGAGTCGAGACGTATTTTCGCATAAACCAGATTCGAGAGGAAGGCTTAAAGGCTGCCACATTGTTGTGCGTTTGTGGGCAAGACGCCTTTGAGATCGCCGAGAGCTTAATCGCCCCAGACTCGCTGGAAACGGTAT